CTCTGTTTTTATTCTTTTTCAGACCATTAACCAGAGGTGGGAACTTTGGGCTGGGAAATGATAGATATGAGACTGAGCCCCGGTATTAGGAGCCTACAGAGGGAAAGCTTGGATTGAGCCTTCAGTGGAAGGGAGACAGCACTGATTGACAAGGGGAACGAAGCCACTCCTCAAAGGAAAGGGCAGCTTTTGACCAAGTTGCTGAGGAGGTGCCTTGGGCCTGGTATTTCTTATCTGAAACGAGTGTCAACATTTTTAAAGAAATTTCTTCCTTATGAGAGATATGGATCAGTTGATAATTAGTTTCTTCTTAGAGACCTTATGATATCAATGTTCTGAATCTTGAGGTGCACCAGCTCTTACGGCCCTCCCAGTCATTGAGATAAGATAGTTGAAACTTTGGAAAGAAGGAAAAAGAAAAAAAAAATTCCTCCCTATCAAAGGAATGACAGGTTGGGGAATTAAGGCCTCTGGGGTTCTGCAGCCTTTCTGAATACAATTCTTCTTCTAATGAATGACAGGTCAAGGCTAAGGCCTCAGGTTTTTTGTCTTCTGTGCTCATGGTGGTTCCAAACCATCACATAGCCACAAGGAAAATTATGTAGTATCCAAATTATACATGACAAGCCCAGCATATTCAGGTTCAGTTTTCCAGGGAAGCAAGTCTGACATCTCCTCCCAATAAGGGGCTTTGCCATGATTAATAAACTGAGGCTGGGGTGAGTTTGCTTTCTGTAAGCCACTGGAGAGCCATGACATCACCACACCTGCCAGGAAAAGGGAGAAATTTCCAGAGAAAGTTAGGAAAAGCAAAGCTTAGTAGAACATCAATATTAAGAACCAAAATTGTACCCACAATCTCACACTCAGCACAGGGGTATTCTTCCTGAGGTCTGCTCACAAACTAAGAAGATTGCACAGGTAGGTAAAAGCAGAGCAAGGACAGTTTTCATGACACCAAGAGGACTTCACACAGCTCTGAAGAATGTTCTCGTATGCATGGCTGTGAGAACCATTTCTGGGGAATCCCCCTGCCTCAGGTGGCTAGACTAGAGAGCATCAGCATTGGGAAACACGTCATCATTCAGTCCTAATATGCTCTGTTTGAAGGCTCAGGAGGCTGCTGGCACATAGGGCTTCTCTCTTCCTATGAATAAGCAAGAGGTTACATAGACAGATGCTTAATGACAGTGAGCACTCTCCAGAAGGTAAGCAATGGATAGAACACTTAGTGACACACACATCTCTCAGAGAAAGGCAGTACTCTTGGAATAAAATTCCTATTCAGAGAATTACATAATTCTACACCATATCTGAACAATCCCTGGTTCCAGATGGGCAAACAGGAAGCTGAGGGGGAGGCATGACTTCTCCAAGTTCACACAGCCATCTTCACAGGTCCTCCTGACTCAGGGGACTCTGAATAACTCCCACGTCCTTACACCCAGAGTGTCCCCCAGGCTGGGAGACAGGAATTCACACCTCAGGACAATCTTTGTCACCAGCCTTCTCTCAACCAGTTCTCAGGAGGAAACAAAGAAGGAATCTCCACCTCGGCTGAGGTTTCAGTTTCTATGAGCAGGAATTTGCCAGGCTTAGTTTCACTTTCCACTTTCAGTTTCTAATCTTCAATTGCAAGGACACATCTGCAGATTACATCGTCTGTTCCTTATAAATCCCTGTCCTGGGGTTCCAATTTATGAGCATATCTACAGACAGACCTCCAGATCTCTGAGAAGCCCACCAAACTGAAAACACTGCAGAACTGCAGGCTCCTTCACAGCAACCATGAGGTAAGGATTTCTTTGCTTTTTGGCCATTATATCTAAGTGTTAATACTATCTCAGCAGGTTAGTTCTCTGAGATCAAGCTTTCTAATTTTTCTATTTGATTATCCACTCATAATGTGTGTGTGTGTGTGTGTGTGTGTGTGTGTGTGTGTGTGTGTGTATACACATGCAAGGACATTCATAGCCACAGCTAAGCTATTGTATTAGTGTAAGCATTTTCATTTCTGTTGAACTTTTGTAACTACATTCATGCAATTCCTGAAGAAGACTAGGACAGAGGAAATGAGTTTCACAAGAAGAGAGAAAATGATCCCAGAATCAGAAATTCTTTTTCCTCACACTATTGCCCATCTAGGGAAAAGAGATCAGCTTGTCAGGTTAGAGACCTCTCTTTCTCCTCACTCCTCATTTTGGTGGGAAAGGACCCACACAGTAGTGTGAGGTTCAATGGAGCCTCCCAGATGCCTGGGGAGACCCTGTGGGGATGGGGTGAGAGGCTCATGGCCTTCCTCTGGAGACTCCTCAACTCACCTTCTGAGGGGCCAGCTCTGATGAAGCTCTGACTAGACTGAAGGTGAGCACATCACGTTTCCTGTGACCTCCAGTCCCTGCCGTGCTTAAGAACATTCACATCTTCCTTACCAGAAGGGCCCAATGGGAATTTCTCTATGGTCCCAACTGAGTCCTGAATCAAGTAACTCCTGTGATCAGCAGATAAAAAATCATCAGTTAACATTAACTTGCAAATGTCCCCTCAGAGTTCCACTGGGAAAAAGTTGGGAGGGGAAGAATTTCCAGAAATCACACAACCACAGGTCTATGATCAACCCTCCTGCAAAAACAGATTAGTCACTGCCTAAAATAACCAATTAAGCATAAACATTGCAAAAATAGTTATCACTCCCTGAATGCTTATTAAGTGCTAGTCTGGCTTCCAACAGTATAATATAAATTATTATATTTAATCATAAAAAAAACAATGAGGCAGGTACCTATATTATGACTTTGCAATATGGAATCTTAGATCTTGAAATGTAGTGATTACACAGACAATAAGAAGTAGAGTTTGGATATGAATAAGTCTGTTTATTAAACTATTAAACTGAAGTTTCCCATAGAATTACAGTGGGTTTGCATGACATCACTTCAGGTGGCATCCTAATATGTTGCTACATTTTGATGATTCAACGTTAATTTTAACCTATGCTAGGAAAAAATTATATATGTCATATATAATATTTAAGTTATATAATTTGTAAAATTTCTATTTAGGTTAGCAGCATGAGTTTTTTTTATTAGGATAATATAACATGTAAGATAAAATTTGTCATTTTTAACTTTTCAAACTCTAAAATTCACTGGTATTTAGCACCTTCACCATGTTGTGTGAGCATCATCACCACCACGTAGTTCAAGGACATCTAATAACTATGAGAAGACACCTCGTACACATTGTTACTTCCTACTCGGCCTCGCTCAGGCCCCAGCAAACTTTCGTCTGCTTTCTGTGTCTCTGCATTTGCCTGTTTGGCTCTGTCATATGAATGGACACATATAATATGTGGGTGGAATGGATTCTTTCAATTTTATGTTGCCTTCAGCCTCCATTTTGAAGACGAGTTGACCATTCTCATATGGAAGCTGAGTGAAGTTTCTCTTGACACAGCTCCCAGTTCTTTACTACCTCCCAGCTCCTCAGGGTGACTGATCCAGACATCTGCCTTCTGCAAATTTCTCCTGGTAACCAGTTTTGTGGGACTTCCCTTTGGGACTGGTCAATAATTAATTCCTTAGGAGATTCATCCTACTGACCCCTAAGCCCTTCCCAGACTGGACAGATATGCCACAGTGTCCAGCTCTCACTGACACCATGATCCTATAGAACTGGAACCAGCTTGCTCTAAGCCCACCAATTAGAACTCTCTGCAGGATTGCCACCTGAGTGATGTCTTGGACCCTAATAAAGGATTGGGCCCGTAAGAGAAGAGCCTGGTGATATTCTTTCTCTCTTGGTCCCCACCCACTGGTTGAGCATCAATGTCCCTGAAGCTCTTACTATTGTCCTACTTCCTATTGTCCCTGAAAGGCATCTTGCCCTCTTTTCTCTGGGATTTATAAGTGGTGGACTTCTTCTGTTATTTCATATGTTGTTTGAGTTGCCCTCTTGTGTTTCACCTGGGTAACAAACCTGCAGTTCACTTCTTTCCAGGTCAGAGCTGCCTCAGAGAGTATATACTCAGGTGTGAATGAAGAGGACAAAGCCAGAAAAACAGCCACTATGGATTTTGCCAGTGTCTACAGATTTGCTATAAGGGGGCACCTGGTCATGGATCAGATAGTCAGGCATTGGACTGTCCACCCAAATATAGATGTACCCCTGTAAGACACACTGCAAACATCCATGAACAAATGCCTGAAGTCTCCTCAGAGCAGGACTAGAGTTTGTAGACACTATCATGAGAGCCCTCTCAAACCACTGCCCTCCCACCTACAAAAATAAAAAACAAAACAGGGTACTCACGGTTGGCTTCTTTCATTTACCCCAATGTTTTTCATGTTCACCTGTGTTATATCAGGTGTGAACAGTTCATTGCTTTTCATGGCTACAATTTTTTCAATTTTGTGGGTATATAACTTTTTATTTATCCATTCATCAATTGATGAACATTTGCATAGTTTTAACCTTTTGGCTATCGTAAATGGTGCTGAGAATGAATATACATATACAAGTGATGTTTTCAATTATTTTGAGCATATATTCTGATGTGTAATTCAATTAAAAAATTTATATTCTGTAGTGAATCATATGGCAATTGTAAATTTAACTTACTGAGGGACTGCCAAACCCTTTTCCATAACAACTCTACCATTTTACATTCTCACCCAGCAATGTATGAGGGATCCAATTTCTCTACATCCTCACAATTCACTGGCTATATTCCTTCCCCCCCCCTTTTTTATTGCTCAGTTACAGGTAAGAGGTTGGATCTCTTTGTGGCTTTGATTTGTGTTCTTCAAGCGACTAAGGATGCTGAGCATATTTTCTTGTAATTTCTGGCCCTTTGTAACTCTTCCTTGGATAATGTCTCTTCAGGGTCTTTGCCCATTTGTGAAATGGGTCTCTTGTGGTTTTGTTGGTGAGTTATGGGAGGTTGTTACACATGCTGAATATGCATCTCATTTCATATAGTGATTGCAAATATTTTCTATCATTCTGGGAGTTGTGTTATCTCTGTCAATGGTGTACTTTGATAAACAAAAGTTCTTAATTTTAATAAAGTCCAGCCTGCCTCTGCCTCCCACCCCCCCCTCACTCTCTCATTTCCTGTGATTTTGGGATCAAAGCCAAGAAAGCATTATCAAATGCAATGTCATGAAACTATTCCCTCATGTTCTCTTTACAAAGCTTATAGTTTTAGTCTCACTTTTAGGTTTTTGATCCATAAAGGCATGCACCTTGATGTGGGAATTCTAGCTTCCAGAACTGTGAGAAAATGAATTTCTGTTGTTTACACTACCTAGTTGATGATGATATTTTGTTATGACAGCTTGAGCTGACTAATACAACCATATATTCAAGGATTTATTTTGGGGATCTCTATTCTCTTACATTGCTCTACTTTCCATTCTCTTCCAGTGGTCTATATATCTCTATGGTCTTTCATATGGTCTTGATGCCCATACCAGAATGTTTTGATTTCTGTAGATTTGTAGTAAGTTTTAAAATCAAAACTATATCCCCAGCCCTATTTATTTTATATGTTGAGACAAGGTCTCACTAAGTTGCCCAAAGTGGCCTTGAACCTGTGATCCACCTACCTGCCTTAGATTCCCAAGTAGCTGGGTTTACAGGTGTGAGCCACCACATCTGGCCCATTTTGTAGTTTTCAGTGTACAAGTCTTTTATCACCTTAGGTAATTTTTTTCAAGGTATTTTATTCTTTTCTATGTTATCGCAAGTGCAATTTTTTTTCATTTGTTTTTGGATTTTTATTATATATAGAAACACAACTGAATTTTACATATTGATTTTATGTCCTTCCACAATACCCAACTCTGCCTTCCTGCAGCTCCAAATAAACTTTTTCTTCTCTATATTGTTTTTGTCAGGTCTTTTAGTCACAGTGACACAACAGTTGATTAAAACAGTATATTACATTAACGATTTTCATGTGTTGAACCACCCCTTTCTATGACATTATCCATTTAAATGACATTTGGGAAATGCTGGGGATTAAATCCAGGGCCTGATGCATGTTAGGCAAGCATTTGATCATTAAGCTGCACCCTCTGCCCTTTTTAAGTTATATGGAGACAGGATCTCACTACGTTGCCTGGGACGGACTTGAACTTGTTATCTTTCTGACTCAGTCTCCTAGGTAGCTGGAATTACAGCTGTGCAGCACTGAACCAAGCTTCCATTATATTGTTGAGTTGACATAATTAATTACAGACATGAAGAACAATTTCTTCATGTCTGTAATTATGTCAACTCAACAATATAATGGAAGGCCGCAGGTGTGACTGTAGAGGGGTATCATGAGGTGATGTTGTGGTGATGAGGTGATTCTGTACCTTGATCAAGGTGGCGGTTCTAGAGGTTTACTCACATGAAAAAATAGCCAAGTTACCTAAACTCATTGTTGTGCCATGTCAATTTTGTAGTGTTGATTTTGTACTATAGCTGTGTAACTTATCATTGAGAGAAACTGGGTGAAAGATACATTGTATCTCTGTACTAAGTTCACAACTTTTGTGAACCTATCATTATTTCCAAGTAAAAAGTGAAGGGAAAAAAACTGTCAAATATTTTCTCATTTCAGTCATCTTCATTGGTTGAATACCATGCACAGTGCAGTCCTGAAGTCAATGATGTTTACTGGAGTTCTGCCTTTCTAACTGGTCTCTGTTGTTTTCAGTTAAATAAGAAGTTTTATATAGCATAAAATAAACTTTAATAGTTTCCATATGTAGACTTATGAATCCTCTTGGAGCCTAGCATGACAAGTGTTAATGTTATCACAGGTTTGCAAATGTGACCTTGAAGAACACAGGGGTTACTTGCCTAGAGAGGGCTGTAAACACCTTAGAAAGCCACACAAATTACATTCATTGTTCCTGTATTTTTTAAAATCCAGGGAACTCTAAAATGTGACACTTTCAGAATAAGAACTAAAATTGAACAGGATGTTTTATTGGGCTTTTTCTTATGACTGTTCCTTACTCAAAAAGTAAAATCTGCTTTGGTTTCACAGTGAGAACACCGATGAGATCCAGGACAGGCTGTGGCAGTTGAGATGTCACTTCACGTGGGATCTGCAATTTGAAGACAGTGAAATACCGAATTTAGAAAGCAGGATCTTGGAACAGATTGAGTTCCTAGACATGAAAAACAATGTGGGGATTCACAACCTCCTGGCCTATGTGAAGCATGTGAAAGGCCAGGATGAGAAAGCCCTGCAGAGCTTGAGAGAAGCTGAAGACTTGGTCCAGAGGGAGCACGCAGACCAGGCAGACCTGAGGAGCCTGGTGACCTGGGGCAACTGTGCCTGGGTGTATCACCACATGGGCAGATTGGCAGAAGCCCAGACTTACCTGGACAAGGTGGAGGACACTTGCAAGAAGTTCGCAAGTCCCTCCCACTACAGACTGGAGTCTCCTGAGATAGAATGTGAGGAAGGATGGGCCTTGCTGAAGTGTGGGGAAAAAAATTATGAGCGGGCCAAGGCCTGCTTTGAAAGGGCTCTGAGAGTGGAGCCTGAAAACCCTGAATTCTATGCGGGGTTTGCCATCACTGTCTACCGCCTGAATTACAATAATGTAATTTCTCTTGGCCCCCTGAGAAAGGCTGTCCAGCTAAATCCAGATAATACATATGTTAAGGTTCTCCTTGCGCTGAAGCTCCAGGATATAGGACAGGAAACTGAGGGAGAACACTACATTGAGGAAGCTCTGAACAATACCTCCTCCCAGACCTATGTCTTTCGATATGCGAGCAAGTTTTACCGAAGAAAAGGCTGTGTGGATAAAGCTATTCAGTTCTTGGCAAAGGCCTTGCGGGCAACACCCAACTCTGCCTTCCTGCATCACCAGATGGGGCTTTGCTACAGGGCAAAACTGTTCCAAATAAAGCAAGCTAAAAACATGCAGGATAGAGAACATGTGGACAGAATAGTAAGATTAGTCATATTTCATTTTGAATTTGCTCTGCAACAAAAGCCCACATTTGCTCTTGCTCTTCTGCACTTGGCACGTATGTATGTTGAAGCAAAGGATTACAGAAAAGCTGAAGACAGCTATCAAAAATTGTTAGTGATGGAAACAGATGAGGATCAAGTACTGGTAGATGCACATTTCTACTATGGCCAATTTCAGGAATTTCAAAAGAAGTCTGAAGTTGATGCAATTAGGCATTACTTAAAAGCAATAAAAACAGAAAAAGAATCACATTCAAGGAATCAAAGTATGAAGTCTTTGGAGAAATTGGCCTTAAAGAAACTTCAGAGAAATGCATTTGACCTGGAAGGCCTGAGCCTTGTTGGTTTTGTCTACAAATTGAAAGGAAAAATAAATGAAGCCCTGGATTACTATGAGCGGGCCCTGAGCCTGGCTGCTGGTTCTGAGAAAACTGTGGGACATGGTCCTTAGGCACTGAATATCAGCCACTTTCACATTTTATTCTCTTTTAGGTTAATAGGTACTATAATCATCTATTCTGTTTGCTGCTTTCAGAAACATTCTGTGTAATTCATTGTAATGATGTAATTTTTAAACAATTACTCAAAACCTAATATAACCTTAAACAGACTTAAATTGTATTTAGAAAATGGTGAAACAGAATATTTGTGTGTGTGTGTGTGTGTGAGTGTGTGGTGTGTGTGTGTGTGGGGTGTGTGTGTGTGTGTGTGTGTGTGGTGTGTGTATGTGTGTGAGGGGGGAGGGAGACAACATTTGTGTGAATGCTATTTAGTAAAATAAAAGTTTACCGAGCAGATTGGTAGCAAGTAAAGACACTGAACTTGCATACACAACATGTTTAATTAATTCGTTTTATCAACAAGTAGTTTATAGTAATATATACTGTAAAGGTAAAATTTCTAAGCTGCAAAAGTCTGAGTTAAAGTGTAAAAGACCGGGCATTGTAAGGTCTCTAAATGGCAAGGCCTGGGCTAAAAAGTAAAGACTAGGTATTGTTAAAATTCTTCTGCTACCCTCGGAACCTGTAGTCTCTGTAGCTGTTAGGACAATGCTGGAACTGCCCAGTAAATATCTCCATTGATTCCCTGGTTGTTTAATAGCTAAGGGCTCCAGGTAACATGGCACGTAAGCCTCTAGGCTCCAAAACCAATCAGTTTAAATTTGTACCCCGCTTAGAAATGACCAATCACCCCTGCCCAGGTTGTTTCTGCCAATGTATGTACTAATCCTGACTCAGAGATGTTGTTCAATTTTCCCACGCCTCATGATGATTTGTTCTGATGTATGCAAAGCCCCCCACCCTCTCCAAAAAGTGTACTTAAGCTCCTCTTGACCTCTGCTCTGGGCTCTGGGCTGCTCTCCCTTCCTGAGTGAGCCTTGAGCCCCAGCATGCTGGTTCAATAAAACTTCCCCTTGCAATTGCATGAAGTCAGTCTCTTGTGTGTGGTCTCTTTCTCCGACGCTCCGCCGGACCCTTACAATACCAAAAATACTAAGGTGAACAAGCAAATGCTTTTCCTGAACCTCATGCAGCTTATGATCTAGTCAAAGAAACAGGTACATAATTAAAAGTGGACTTTATCCATATTTCAGATTTAATTTACTATCAAATTGTCCCAGGGAGTTTCTCTTGTTCTATGCCATTTTATTTGAAGCACTATTTAAGTTACTTACTAATAATCTATTGATCTAAATCAAGAAATATGAAAAGGATGTAAAACAATTTGAAAGCAGAGCTCACTGATGCAAAACAAATCTCTGGATTGCATAATATGTTGTTCAAGGTAGGTTTGACCATTTCCAAGTAGCACACTTAGATAATGTCTTTTTGTTAACTCAACAGCACCTCTCTTTCTCATTCTTCTCAATTCTGGAAGAGGTATTTGCACTTCTCGGTGCTGAATAATACTACAGTGTGATACAGTCCGGATGTTTTCCAGAGGAAAAACAACACATAGCAAATCCTGAAACATAGGTGCTCTTTTGTATTGAAAATACTACTGACAAACTTATACATGAGCACCTCTAGGCATTACCAAGAATTCTGATTAAGTTGGCAACTGAATTTTAGGAACTTATTACTTCCAAATAAATGACTGACAGATCCTCAGTTGGTACTCTTATTTAGATTGACTCCTGAGGTGCCCAAGCCTAGGCCTTTGCTAATTGCTTTTACTGTAGGATCCAGTCCATTGTGGACCACTCTAGCCACCAGTGTATTTCATTCTCATGAATTGCTTCGGGAATCAGTCTACCCTATAGCCTCCTCCAACTAGTATTACCTACTCTATTCATCCATTTTCTGTTACTATGACAAAATATTTGAGGCTAGGTAAGTTATAAAGAAAATAGATCTACTTAGCTCACAGTTTTGGAGGCTGAAAATTCAAATAGTATAGCATAGGCTCTAACAAGGTCCTCTCCCCAAAAAAACAGTACCATGTCATGGTGTATGATATGATGGAGTGCACAGATAAGGAAGCAATCACACAGCCAGACAGGAAGTCAGAGAGGGAAGAGGGGTCATTTTTACAACCTCTCACTAGGCACTACCTCTTGAAGCTTCCACCACCTGTTAACATCACCACACTGGGGACATACTCACAAACCATATTCAAACCATAACCACCATCATCAGCCTGTGGCCACAGCTATGTGCCTTGCTCCAACAAGACCAAATGTGATGGCAACCACTTCCACCCTGAAGTTCCATGCTAAAGGACATACTCCTTGAAACCTCCACTTTTACTCAGGCCCCTTCCTCCTAAATATCAATATATGCCCAACATCTCTTGATCTGTATTCATTTTTCCTCTCTGACCTGAAGTCTGCCTCAGATCACTTGCAGGAGGTATAATTATTTTTAATTAGAAATATAAATGATGGTATTATTTACAGCAGGGATTCTCAACCCTGGTGGGGTGGGGGTAGTGAGAGGTGAGGATTTTGCTTCCCAGAGGGCTTTGACAAGGTCAGAAGGGTTTTGTTGTTGTTGCTTGGGGGGGGGAGGGCCAGGAATCACAATTGTGGGGTACTTCTGCCATCTAGTGGACGAACACAAGAATGCTGCTTAGAGAGCCTAGAATGTACTGGACAGCTTCCTACAACAAAGAATTATCCAGCCCAAATGTTACTAGTGCCAAGTTTGAGAAAGTCTGACTTCATCTACTTCTTGGAAGTTATTGACAGTCAGTGTTTATTCTGAAGGACTACTTTGGGAATCCCTATTATGTTTGTTTCCCAAGCAGGTTTTACAACAGTTGTGTTTAATTTTCTGTTCCCCTTTTCTCCAGTTGTTGTATTTTACATGTTGATAAACATAATGTTCAAAAGACAATGAATTATTGATTCTCTCAAGATTTGCTCAGTTCAACAGTCTGTTTAAAAAAGATTGGTATTCAAATTCCATGTAGTAATTTTAGCATGTTCAACACACTCCCTCGACAGCTAGGTCTTTTTTTTTTTTTTTTCCAGTCCTGAAAATGCAGTTCTTTAACACTTTTTTACAGATGATTTGTGTTTTTCTAAACAATGTAAGTAGATATTCGAGAATTTTTCCCTTTGACTTTTTTTTTAACCACTGATGGCTTAGTTATGTTCATTTAAACTTCTATAAACAAAAACTATTTCTTAGCCCATACACAGCTAAGAAAAGGGAAGGAGAAGAAGCAGGAACACATAAGGGGAAGAAAATGATGGGTGTATGGGAAAACTTTTCAAACATCAGAGCTTTATCAAACTTTTCTATAATCTTGGAAGATGGAAATTCTGGGTTTATTTTTCAATGCAAAATAAATCTGTGAGTACATTTTCTAAAATTTGGTTTCAGACTTCAGGTAAGTAGTACTCTAACTTACAGGCCTACCACACCCATGTTCTCTCCCACCTAATTTCTGACCACAAAGTTCATGTTTGCCAAGTATGTTCCCCGCTGAGGGCCTTTGCACCTACCTTTTTATCTACCTGGAATGCTTTTCTCCAGTCTCATATCCACAGTGCTCACTCCTTCATCCCCTTCAGATCTTTGTGCAATGACCATCTCCTCAGTGAAACCTTCGCTTACCCCCATATTTATAAAACAATCTACACCCCCAACCCTCTCTTTGCTCGACTCTTCCCCGTAGTACCAGCATTTAATAGGTTTTACTTATTGTCTTTATCACCCCACACCAGATACGAACTCCATGAAGGTATGGGCCTCATCTGTTTTATTTATTGCTATGTTGACAGTACTTTGAACCAAATCTGGCTCTTAGGAGTTGTTCAATAAAATCTGTTCAATGAACGAACATCTGAATCCAATGAGCACAGAAATCTTAATGTATGGAAATTTGACACTTTCTGCTTAGGTCCCCAATTCAACCCCCACCCCTTATCTTCATTGGGACCTTATTGCACAAAGCGCCGCAGCAAGGGCGTGGAAATGTACACCTCTTTGTAAAGCTTAAAATGTATATGCATTTTGACAACAAACTTTTCCTGTTTTAAATATACCAAGTAAGAACAGCGGTGTACAGCGCTGCAGTGTGGCTGGTTGTATCAAAAGACAGGACCGGAAGGCAGAGACTTCAGATTCACTTAGATGGTAGACAGCTGGAGAGAGCATCGTTACCACAATTGCAACAAAAATAACGCTGAACAACCTCCTGATGCTTTTGCTTAAAATAATGGTGGACAAAAATTCGACAGTTAACCGAGAGGCACATGAAATCCAGCAGGTCAGAGGCCCTGCTGCAAACCCAACTCAGAACGACCCTGCGCTCAGCAAAGGTTTTGCCGCGGCTGGTCCGCGCTCGCGTTAAGTTTCGGTTTCTGGAGCCGGTCTCGGCGCCCAGGGGGATCAGATTCGGTTTCCAGTTTTCTTTTCCCGTTCGGGTCCAGCCTTTAACAAAGACCTGCGCGCGGCCGAGTCCCCGCGCTGCCCACGCCAGGCGGGAAGCGCGCGCACGCGCACTCGCCTCCGGTCCGCCCGCCGCCACAGCCGAGGCGCCGGGTGCTGTGGAGCGAGCCCGAGGGCACCGCCGCCTGGGACGGCCCGCAGAGCCCCGCCGCCATGAGGTAAGGGCTTCCCCGCCTAGCTTCTCTCAAGTGCTGCGTCCGCCTTTGTTTGAAACCGTTGTCGCTCTCGTGTGCGTTCCCAGGGCAGCGCTGCGGCCCTTCCAGGGGACGCGCCCCCTGCGCGGGGCAGCCGGGCGTCTGTGTTTGGGACGCTCCCCGGAGTCCCGTCCCGGCGGGCGGCGTCCGATGTCCGGCGGGCCGCGGCGATGGCCAAAAGGACGCTGCCCGGGAGTCCCGACCTCCTCCCGCGGGCTCTGAAAACGACCCGGGCAGGGCGGAGGGCAGGGCGACGGTCCCCGGGAGCCCGTCCCTTGCCGGGGTCTGCGGTCGGGACCGTCGCGGAGGGTGGCCAGGAGACGCCGGTTTCCTCGTCGCTCTGTTCTCAGCCGCCGCAGTTGAGGCGGTGCAGCGCCGGCGGCCGTCGCCCCCGCTCGGCAGCGCCCGCAGAGCTCTCCTTTCCTGCCCGGGAAGCCCCCGGGGCCGTGCGAGGCGGCGGCTGCGTGGCGCTGGTCACCTCTCCAGGCCGCCTTCCAGCTGCCGTGCCCTCCGCGTGGCACTCGCGGTTTCGCCGCAGCCTCCAGGCGTCACGTTTGCTTCCACTACCATTTGCCTTTCCGTTATCCGGCTCTTGAATGCTACCCTTTCTTGGCGCTATCCTCGTACCACGGACGGATTGTTCGTGTTCCATCCAATCCGTTGTCTAAAGCGCTACAAGTTTGTTTTAACTATAAAAATTAGTGGCATCTAGCTCTGGGGTCTGTGGAAAGGGTTAATTGCTTAGCACATAATAGTTGCACAATAAATGTTAAGTGTTACTATAATTATTGTCGTTATAACAAGTTAGAAAAAAAAAAGTTGAAGTGCCTCACTTCTAACATTTGTAAGAAAGGAAGAGGTAATCAGAAAAGGGCTTGAAGAAACTACCAGGAAGGGCTGGGGTTGTGGCTCAGTGATAGAGGGCTCACCTACCACCCAGTGAGGCACTGGGTTCCGATCCTCAGCACCACATAAAAATAAAATAAAGATCTTGTGTCCACCTGTAATTAAAAATAAATATTAAAAAGAAAGAAACAACTAGGAAAATGGGATGCATTGCATTTTGTTCGGGATGGGCTGGAAGAGGGTTTGGCCCCACTGCGGTCTGTCTCCCAACGACAGAATTACCTAAAGTCAAATTGGTTTATCAGCTCTCATAGCCTCTCTACCAGTTTTCCAGAATCAAAGTTAAAAAATTAACCAGAGGGTGGCACACGCCTGCAATCCCAGAGGATCAAGAGTTCAAAGCTAGCCTTAGCAAAAATCGAGCTGCTAAGCAACTCAGAAAGACCCTGTCTTTAAATAAAATACATAATAGGGTTGGGGATGTGGCTCAGTGGTCAAGTGCCCCTGAGTTCAATGCCTGGATACCCCACACCCACAAAATTAACCAGACGAAGTTTAAACAGTAGAACTTCTCATGGTGTCCAATTGAGCATCAGTTCCCCACCATCTGAGCAAAGCACTTTAGTGTCTCAGTGTCCCTTTTGAGATCTCACAGCTGCATTCCTAATATCTCTTCCTTGGTGGGACTGATTGAGATCTTATGAACAAAGGCAAGTGTTTATTTGACTCTATGATGGGCAGAAGACTAGTAAGGCCACATTGTCATGAATTTGGTTGGGCTGTAAGGACATGGTGCATCTTGTCATGCTTTTAGTATAATTACACCAGAGAAGGAACAATTTCCAAGGTGCAGTCTTTACAGGTTTCCCAGTCTGAATCTCTGGGTCAAATGCAGTAGTCCAAGATCTATTCTCAAACCCAAACATAGAGCTAGACAGCAAGCAAGGATATAAAACAAGTGGGACAGAGACCACTGAAATGGGAGGAGTTTGGAGCCATCATTTGGAAGGGTGGAACTGGCAAGAATTCCCTCATTTGAACTTTAGGTGCTTTTTATGCTAAACTTGTGCTGGACACACTAAGAGCTGACAGTATATAAGTGGATTCATTCATTCAACAAATATTTATTGAGCTTCTGTTATGTGCCTGGTATACACAGAGGTGAAAAAATAAAACAACACAAAGTACTTACTCTCAGGGGATTTATATTTTAATGGAAGAAATGGACAAACAGCAGATAAGTAAGTAAATAACATAATTCAAAACTGATAAGAGCTGTAAGGAAAATAAAACAGTAGAATAGAGAGTGAACTAAATTGGAAGGGGCAATTTTTAGATAGCTCTGTCACAGGCAGCCTCTTGGGTAGGGAATATTTGTGCTGAGTTACAAAAACGCTGGTCATGTGAAGATTTGGAAGCAGAACATATCAGGTATAATAAGAACTATAGGTGATAAAGCCCTGAAACTTCTGTGCCCAAGACTGGAAGAAGGTCAGTTCATCTAAAAAACAGTGAAAAGGGGGGAGAAGTAAGGAAGTAGGTTGGACAGATGGATAAGGCCAGCTCCTTTAGGGGCTTGTAGAACATAGCAAGGGCTATATTAATATCTAAGGGAAGCCCTTAGATTAAGGGAGATTAAAAATTGGGCTTATTTAAGCAGAAGAAACATAATTTAGTTTCCTGCCTTTTCAAAAGTTTATTGGATCATAGGGGGCCAAGAGTACAAACAGGCATAACAGATCTTTGCCCATCCCAAAGTTAAGATAGCTGTGATTTAAACTAGGAATATATATAGTCTCCCTCCACCTGAGGTTACACTTCTTTACTCTCATCATAATAAGAATTCCTGGAAACAGTGGTCTGTACACCCCCATATTATTATCTCCACCTCTCATTATGCCCTGGAACCATCCCAGTAATGTTTTCATCCTTACCATTGTATTAAATGCTTTTATCAAGATCCCCATAGATTTCCTGACAAAACAATAATCTGTTTTCTGTCTTTATTTTCTCCACCTCTGTGAATCATTTTACACATTGGATGTTCATCTCTCTTCCTTGAAATAAATACTTTCTTCCTTCAGCTTCCATTACACCATGTTTTTTGGTTTTCTTACTTTCCTCACTGAGTAGTATTTCTTAGCCTCCTTTCCAGATGCTTCTAATCGCTGGACCTGGAGTATCTCACAGCTTAGTTTGTGAACTTCTTTTCTATCTATGCTCACTCCATAGGTAATCTCATCTAGGTCTTGTGGTTTTGAAGTTCATCTGTATGCTAATAATATATAGATAAACTTCAAAACCACAAGACCTAGATGAACATTTTATATCTCTTACTAATTTCACCCCTCCACATCTCCAGAATTTTATTCATTTCTATTATCCAACTTCATATTTGACATTTTCACTTGACTGTCTAGTAAATATCCAAAATTTACATTTCCCAACAGTCCTTCAGATTCATTCACTCAGTTTTTGAAGTCAAAGTAGGGACTTGATTCCCTCTTTCCCTGCTGGCCTTTCCCATACCCAATCCATCAGAAAGATCAAAATAGGACTATCCACTCCTCAGAAACCCTCTACTGCAACTCTAGAGTAAGTCTGTACTGTCTCTTTTTGGCTTTCTTCAACCCTCCCTCATATCTGTCAGGGAGATTTGTTCTGGCCATCTGACTTTAAACTGTCTTGCAGAGTCCTTACCAACCTCCTGTTTCCTTTCCAGCTTGCTTTCTTTTTTAAATATCTATTTTTTAGCTATAGGTGGACACAATATTTTATTTTTATGTGGTGCTGAGGATAGAACCCAGTGCTTCACGCATGGTAGGCGTGCGCTCTACCTCTTAGCCACAACTCCAGCCCCTCCAGCTTTACTTCTTATCTTAGTAATTATCATCATCTCACTCTTTATTTTCATTTATTGTTTTGTCTTTATGTTATACCCCCTCCCATTAGAATGTAAATGGCATTAGGTCATGATTTTATTTTGTTCACTTCTGTATCCCCAACACTTATAATAGCACCCTGCATATAATAGGCTTTCACTAAATATTCTAATGAATACATAGCTTCCCTGTCTTTTTGCTTGACCCCCTATTGTTCTTGGTTTACAGAGTAGACAGGGATTTTTAAAAACCTAGACCAAAGGCTACCATTTCCCTACTTTAAAATCTCCTTCCAGGACTAGGAATGTAGATCAAGGTTAGAATGCTTGTCTAGCATGTGTAAGGCCCTGAGTTTAAATCCCCAGCACTGAAAAATAAAATTTAAATGAAATATTTCTGGGCTAGAACTATAAATCAAGGAAACCAGAATAAAGTTATGAGATCCTAGTGCTTTAGTTAAAAGATCAAATAAGATATAATTGGTTGGTATGTAAAGAACAGTAGGTAAGGTTTAGAAATTATTCCCTTTATTTCTTCAAAAAATAAAAAAGATTTTATCTTTTACAGTGAAATTCCTAAGGACTCCTTGAAAGCCATTCTGTTAGAGTTGGACTGTCACTTTACTTGGAATTTACTTAAGGAAGATATTGATCTGTTTGATGTAGAAGATACAATTGGGCAACAGCTTGAATTTCTTACCACAAAATCCAGACTTGTTCTTTATAATTTATTGGCCTATGTGAAACATCTAAAAGGTCAAAATAATGATGCCCTAGAGTGTTTGAAACAAGCAGAAGAAATAATCCAGAGAGAACACTCAAATGAAAAAGATGTACGAAGTCTGGTCACTTGGGGAAACTACGCCTGGGTATCTTACCACATGGACCAGAGTGAAGAAGTTCGGAAGTATATAGACAAGGTAGGGAATGTCTGCAGGAAATTGTCCAGTCCTTCTGACTACAAGTTGGAGCGCCCTGAGATTGACTGTGAGAAAGGGTGGGCACTCTTGAAATTTGGAGGAAAGTATTACCAAAAAGCTAAAGCAGCTTTTGAGAAGGCTCTGAAAGTAGAACCTGACAATCCTGAATTTAACATTGGCTATGCCATCACTGTGTATCGGCTGGATGATTCTGATAGAGAAGGGTCTGTAAAGAGCTTTTCTCTGGGACCTCTGAGGAAGGCTGTTATGCTGAACCCAGACAACAGCTACATTAAGGTTTTTCTGGCCCTGAAGCTTCAAGATGTTCATGCAGAAGCTGAAGGGGAAAAGTATATCGAAGAAATCCTAGACCAGGTATCATCTCAGCCTTATGTCCTTCGTTATGCAGCTAAATTCTATAGGAGAAAAAATTGCTGGGACAAAGCTCTTGAACTTTTAAAAAAGGCTTTGGAGGCGACACCAACCTCTTCTTTCCTGCATCACCAGATGGGGCTTTGCTACAGGGCACAAATGATCCAAATCAAGAAGGTCACGCGCAACAGACCTAAAGGAAAAGATAAACTGAAGGTCGATGAGTTGATTGCATCCGCTATATTTCATTTCAAAGCAGCTGTGGAACGAGACTCTATGTTTGCATTTGCCTACACAGACCTTGCCAACATGTATGCTGAGGGAGGCCAGTATAGCAATGCTGAGGACATTTTCCAGAAAGCTCTTCATCTGGAGAATATAACTGATGATCACAAACACCAGATCCACTACCACTATGGCCGCTTTCAGGAATTTCACTGTAAATCAGAAAATACTGCCATCTACCATTATTTAGAAGCCTTAAAGGTCAAAGACAGGTCATCCTTGCGTACCAAATTGATAAGTGCTCTGAGGAAATTGGCTACCAAGAGACTTTGTCACAATGCTTTAGATGTGCAGAGTTTAAGTGCCCTAGGGTTTGTTTATAAGCTGGAGGGAGAAAAGAGACAAGCTGCTGAGTACTATAAGAGGGCCCAGAAGATTGATCCTGAAAATGCAGAATTCCTTACTGCTCTCTGTGAGCTCCAACTTTCCATTTAAATACTTCCTCTAGGAAATGTGGTTTAAGTTCCCCGCCCCCATTTTGGTTTCTTGTATTTTGATTGTTTTGATCCATCTTCATTATGGAGCCAATATAAAATATTTTTTGAGTTAACTATGTACTAGACATTGTGCTAAATATTTTCTATTCATTACGATGAATTTTGCTGTTTTAATTCTTTTTTTAATTACAATTCCATAATTCATTAAGAAACAGCAAGAGTCCAGCTGTTGTTATTTTTTAAATGATATGGCCATTATGATTTGACACCCTTTTTCTCTGCTATTTATAATAATTTTATGATTAAATTTTGTGAAATTTCCCATATTTCTTATGCTACAAAAACTTGATAGCTAAGTCAGGAATACTCTTCAGAAATGCAAAATGGTGTTAAACTCTTACCTATATAGCTTGCAAAAAACAGAACCTTTCACTTAACAGATGTTTTGAGTCTAAAAGGATGTTTTTCAACCTGAAAGTCACCTGAAGAATTCTTTTTGTTGGAAAAAATAATAGTAAAAAGTTTGTCAATCTTTGTTGACTTCAGTAAAAGGGGGAAACTAGAATAGGAGAAAAAAGATATTCTCAAATTGTAAATATTACAGAACTTAGATGATTTATAAGAAATTGAAAATATTGTCTTCCTGAATGTTCAATATAGACCTAGAAATTATGAGAAAAATGAATAATGGAGTATCATTAAGCTCATGTGTTTTTTAACTAGAAAAATAAACCTACACTGAATGTAGATGGAGTTAATCTTATTCTTTCCAATTAAAATTGCAGTATTTTTAGGTTAAGATCATTGAAATAAGAAGCAGACCAGCTGAGAAACTGAAAGAACTGATAAACAAATGGATAAAGTAGATATCTCTAACCTATATTCCCAGACTACCAAGATTTCAGTATATTAATTGGATCTGGACTGGGTGGGGCTCTCCCACTTCCAATTTGGCCTTGTTTAACTGTTTTAGTATTCCAAAGTGACTTCTGTGAAACTTTGTTTTGTCTAAAATTTTCATATTATCAGTGCATATCTCAGGATTTTTCTTAGGAATAGTTAAGCTTTGTTTTTTTCTTAGGAATAACTATTCCTAGATCCTTAGGAATAGTTAAGCTTTGTTTTCAGTTTTAATATTCACCTTGAGGGGTCATTTCCTAAAGACTTTTATCCAAGAGGGATTAAAAACATCTTAAGTTGGGATATTACAGTGTGGTTTCTCTAATGGTGTATCTTTGGTGATAGACCAGTTGTATAACTACACTGCATAACTGGAAAAGTATGCCGTATACTTAATTCTCCATTTTTCCAGTGTAATTCTTAAAATTCTTGTGTGTTTGTTTTACTTTATTTTTTTAGTTCACAGAACTCCAATTCTTTATTAATCACAGCTTGCTCACAATGACATACAGGAAAATAGCACTAATGAAGAGTATATATGCAGGCAGCAACCTTCAGGAGTTGGGGGGTGGGAGTTGGGGGAGAAACGACTTCAGAACTATGATAGATACTTATGATGGGTATCTGGTGATTCTCTTAGTTGGCAAAAATGCCCTGCCTAGCCCCCTTTGACTGTATCAGCTTCACAGATTAAGTGATTTTTTTAAATTTTTATTAATAGGCAGGGTTGCCTCACCCTGGGGAAGAAAGACCAGCTTGAGTGGAAGTCCGCAGTGTTTTGATTTTGTTTGTGTTTGAATGCAACAACCAGCTCACAGTTTCCAAGTGGAAAAATATTCAGTAGCATCATGTAATTGTACTATAGGTAAAAGCTTAAAATGAACATTATCAATCATGGCATCCACAAATAAGCCACCTGACACATTAATTAATTCATTCCATCAAAAAAACTTAAACTAGAGAAGTCAGCCCACTTTATGAAGAGCAATTTTCCACATGCTAGGCAAGCCCTCCACTACTTCTTTCACTATCACCCAAGCTGTACTCATACTTGTGATCATCCTACCTCAGCCTACTGAGTAGATGGGGTTATAGGTGTGTAGTGCCATGCCTGACCCACACATGCCATTTTAAGGTACCTCTTTCACATCCTGTACCTGAGCTGTATCCGAGTTGGGTTTTTTAAAATGTTTTGTCTTTTGGTTGCATTCAGGGCTTCAATTCATATGACCCCATAGCTCTAAAAAGTTGTTCAGAAAAAGCTTGTTTACAAAATACTGTTCATTGCAAAAAAACAGAAAACCAAATTTAAACTGGCTTTAAAACAGTAACAAAAGTAAATCTTGTTTTCAGTCAGGACTTGATCCAAGTGTAACCAAGATATAATTGCTCTCCACTTTCAAAGTCCTTATTTATCCAACTTGACTTCATTCTGAATTGGTTTTGTGGTCCTAAGATGACTATCATATGCTTTCATGTTCCTTTCCATTGGAAAAGAGCATATCTCCTCTCATAACCATGTAGGAAGTACAGGTGTGACAGAATAATCTTAGATAACCTTCCCCTTCTTAAATCAGCCATCATGTCCTGTAGGGCAAAGAAAGTATCATACTGCTAAGAGCCACTGCCAAGTAATATGATGCATGGCATTTTTGGTTGAAAGGTGACGCCTGCTAGCCATTGAGATGATATGATTATGTTAAGATTTGCATTCATATGGATATTGGACTCCCGCTGTTCACCTCGGACTCCTGGAGAGTTCCCATTGGTTGGGGAAGTACAGTAGGAGGGAATTCCGGGGGAGGAACTTGTTCTGGGGTTGCGGGAGAACGCCGTGTGTGTGGATCGGCTTCTTCCCAGACGTGTACAGGGTATTGGTGGCAGTTTCAAAAATAAAGTTTGTTCCTGCTTGAGTGGCTTGTGATTTTGTGCCCAGCCAGACTGCGGGCGGCATCATACTTATCAGTTAAGTCACACAGCTGACCCTGAAAGCCAAGAATGGAAAGTTGACATCTCTAGAAACATGCTGCAAGGTACAGAAGTGAACTCACCAAGATATTAGTGTTTGATATTGGCTGTCCAAAATACCAACGACGTGTAGATTGAAATAAAAAAAGGCTTTTCCTTTCTTCCACACTTCTCTCTCCCACAAGTATCTTAAATAGGAGAGCCAGAATTGTAGCTCAGTGGTAGAGAGCTTGCCTAGCATACACAAGGCCCTGGGTTCAATCCCTGACACAAGAAAAACAAACAAAAAAAGCTTAAGTCCTTAACATTGAAGCCCCCAGTAAACTTTCTGCTGGAATTTCAGGTATTCTCAGTCAAGTCCTATTTCTGTTCACTTAAGCATGATAGAGGGTGCATCAAGGTTGGTTCCTGATTGGTTCCTGGAAGGTCGGGCAAGAAAAGCAGTTATATTTACAGTGTAGCAATGGCTGCCAACTATGATTCAGACAACTTAAAAAAATGAGTGAAACAACCAGAAGCATTTAGCATGTGAATGTGAGTCTGAAGTACTAATGATGGCTGTGTGCCTGAACTTATGACATATATGCAATAAAATTGGGAAGCCATCACCAACTTATCCACCAGCTTTTTGAAGTCCACATTCAAGGTGACAAAAAAATGGTTGATAAAAGTAGGCATGGGAAGACGTGGACATCAAGGGACTAAACCTAGTTACCCATGTGTTGAACTTGTGTGCATGATATTCATTCTCTCTCTCTCTCTCTCTCTCAACACACACAGAAATACACGTACTATTATAAAAGGACCACTCTGATACCATCATAGGGTAATGTTTTGCATTTTTCATTTACTAAGTTAGGCACTTTAAAATGTTAATCTTATTTAAATGTCTCAATACTGCAAATGAATAGAGCAAAGTTGAGAGAGGTTAAGTAACATTCTCAAAATCACATAGCTACTGAGTGGTGGGCTGCCAAGGCCAATGTCTTGGCTTGGCACAGAATCACGAGCCACCACACACCTTCGTAGGTTCAAACAGCAATTCTTTATTCCCGCTCTCACACCGCCTCCACACAGGTCCAGGGGCAATCGCGTTCTGCCGTCTGCCCGCACAATTCACCTACTCCACGAGGCTATCTCCAAATCTCATTTTAATCTCACGAGAATTCAACAGGAACAAGCAGCAGAAACACCCTAATCCCAGCAATAATCTTCAACCTCTAACTTCCCTAAAACCCATTATCTTAAACTGGCAACTCCTTAAACTCAAGGATCCAGTTACTTGCTCAAACCTGATCAGCTCTAAACCTGGATCCGCCTTGGTCCTTGAGCAAGGTCACCTTATTAAAGCATGCATGCAATGTCCCATCGAATGTCCTCTAAGCAGCATGGGGTACCTTGGCAAGGAAATTTCGATGTGTCATTCCTACTTGGTAATGGCCCTCAGCAGTGGGCCTAGGATTTAAAATCAGATTTGACCTAATTTTCAGTCCACTTTTCATTGTATCAGTGGTTCCTAAATCTAACTATAAATTGGAATCATTGGAGTCTTTTTAAAAATCAGATCTTCCAGGGCTGAGGGGTAGCTGTTGTAAGGCATATATTTAGCATTACTAGGCCCTTGGTTCTATCCCCAGTACCAGCATCCAAAATAAAATTTTCAGGTCCTACCACCACAGACCTAAATCAGAACCTCGGGGTAGGTCCTAGGAGTGGGGGGATGGGAAGGATGGTGGAATGAGATACATTACTACCCTCTGTACATGTATGATTGCATGAACAGTGTGACTCTGCATGTGTGTAGCCAGAGAAATAAGAAGTTGTGCTCCATTTGTGTACAATGAGTTGAAATACATTCTGCTATCATGTATAACTAATTAAAACAAATTAAAAATTAAAAAGGGAAAGAGAACCAAATAAAATAAAACAGCAATGAGGAGTCAGAGGCTTGAAGATCTTACCTCAGAGTAAGGCCTGACTTACAGCTCTGGAGCCACATAACTGAAATAGAATGAGCTAACCCAGGATTACCTTCCCAAAATTCTACTTCATCAATTCTTTGATTAATCTTTTTTTTAATTATCAGAGTTTCCAGGGGCAGTGGTACATATCCATAATCCCAGCAGCTTGGGAGGCTGAGGCAGGAGAATGACAAGTTTGAAGCCAGCCTCAGGAACTTAGTGAGGCCCTAAGCAATTTAGTGAGACCCTGTCTCAAAAAGTAAAAAGGGCTGGGGATGTAGCTTAGTGTTAAAGTGCCCCTGGATTTAATCACCAGTTCAAAAAAAAAGCATTTATAAAAAAAAAATTACCAGGGGCTGGAGTTGTGGCTCAGTGGTGTGCACTTGCCTAGCATGTGCGAGGCACTGGGTTCGATTCTCAGCACTGCATTTATAAGTAAAATAAGGTCCATTGACAACTAAAAAAAAAAAAATTACCAGTTTCCCACCAAAAGACCAGTAACTCCCTCATAACGTGTGCACCCACACTGAGCACCATAGCCTTTTACATTACAAAATTGCATTTTTCAGAATCAACTCTCCCTTTCTCCCACAACACCTTTTTCTGTGGCCTTATGATTACACAGCTGCTTTTTTACTTTACCTTAAAGTACATAGTAATGCCAATGCATTCCACATAATTTAGAAGACTCTGATCAGGCCAGATTCAGACAGTGAATCAGAAGGTGATATGCTTCATCAATTACCTAGTTTTTAGAAATCTGCAGATGAGCTATGCTCATAAACAGAACAAATATTTGGGAAACATGGTCTGTATACCATAGCAATTCTCAAACGTTAGTGTTCTTGCAAATCATGTGACAGTCTTATTAAAAGATAGATTCTGAGTCAGTAGGTATCACAGAGGCCTGAGGTTCTGTACTTTAAACAAGCTCCCACTGATGATGATGATGTTCTTTTGACTACATTTTGAATAGTAAGAGTGTACAACATTGCTCCTCAAACTGCACACTGGAATCACTTGAGAAGCTAAAAAACAAAAAATGAAACATTCATGTCTGGGTTCCCTACTCCCAGGAATGACTTAATAGGCATAGGGTGTGATCCAAGCATCATGATTTTTAACTTTCTAAGGTAACACTCTTGTGCAGCAAAGTTTGAGATACTAGGATCTACAATGGGAGAAAAAAACATAATAAAAGTCACTGAGCTAACAGGCTTAAACAGATACTCCTTGCTCTTGAGTATTTGTTTGGTAATTCAGTCCTTCATGGCACTAGGTATACAATAGGTCTACTTAAAGTTTTCTGAGTTGCATTGCACAGTATACTGCCCTACCTCTGAAATCTGCTCTTACCAATTGATTCAAAGCCCCTGAGTCCAAATCCCAGTAAGGTAAATTCATCCTGTCAAGCCTCATAAAGTCCCATGATGTGGGACCAAGTTCTTTTCCTTGCCTATTAGACCAGCCTGCCCAGGGAAGTAGCTGCAGTTGCCCTTCAGGAAAAGAATTTGTCCAAATTGTGAAAGTGCTCTTGGAAAATATTTCTTTGAGCACTAAAACTGAGAAGTCCTTTCAACAAATGATAAATCAGCCGGCAGAAAATGGCTTCAGAGTAAGGAGTAATGGAACTAATGGAGCTCTTGAAGTTATTTGCTGTCCTCTGTGCAGAGCCAGTGTTAGCAGTTGATCATGTGAATCACTTTCAAAGACAATATAGGGGCTGGGGCTGTAGCTCAGTGGCAAAGTGCTTGCCTCACATGTGAGAGGCACTGGGTTCGATCCTCAGCACTACATAAAAATAAATATACTGTGTGTTCATCTACAACTGAAAAAAAAATACTTGAAAAAACACTTTTGAAAAAAAGAGGGACTGGGGTTGTGGCTCAGTGGTAGTGTGCTTGCCTAGCATGTGTGAGGCACTGGGTTCAATTCTCAGCACCACATACAAATAAATAAAATAAAGGTCTATCAACAACTAAAAACTATTTTTTTAAAAAAGACAATCCACACAGTTACTGTTTCTAGATTGATGTTAGATGAAAATTATCACCATTCAAAAACAACATTATAGATCTATGGAACATTAGAACCAAGAGCACCCTAAGGAAATGCCTTCTCCAACCAATTTTATGGATATGAAAATCGAGATTTGGACTGGTGATGTGATTTATTAAGACTTCACAACTAATTTATAGGCTGTACTTTCTGCTCTTGGTTCCTGGGTCAGTAGCACTCTTCCCTGATGGACAAGTGTTTGTATCTGTAATCAGTAATACTTATTATACCAGGTTAAACCTTAGTTGACAGTTGATCTGGCCATGAAGTGACCATGCATAGACAACACAGACCTATTCTGCAAGAATAGTTTTTTTTGTGGAATGTTTACTATGGAGGATAAAGAACATAACACATACAAGATGAATTAACATGTAGCATGCTTTTTTATATTTGGTGAATTATAAGAAATTGGAATCCATTTGGCCTTGATGATTAGAGCAGTATCCTTTGAAGAGTTCAGAGGTAATAATGTTTTTACCCTAATGCAGTGGTCATGAGAAATACCTCTCAGCTCTTCAAATAGAGGAATTATAATTTACTGAGAGTCTCATCTGCAGCACACTGAATCTGTCATTCCATTTACATTCTGACAATGCTTCCCAGTGTGGTACAGATGCTAAGGCCCTTTGTTGGGGAGGCAGGACTTCTCTGACAAGCAGCTGGGGCTCCAGGATTCCCTCAGCCTTGTCATATTTTCCTTAAAACTATACCGTTATCTTAGATACTTCTAACTTCTTTTCCTTCTCTGTCTCCTACTTTGAGGACAGGCCTGCATCATGGCTAAGCCGCTTTCCCAGTCTCACTCTGCTCTTGCCCATTTTAACTTATAGGTGTTTCTCCTAATAAATTTCTCACATGTTCAATCCGATCTTAGCTCAAACTGATACCCCTAGTGAGAGAAATGCAATCAGGGCTCTGGCTGT